GGGTTGGCTTGTTATGCTGCCATAGGCTTAGACTACTGGAGGACAAACTGACCTCATTTCCTAAAATGAATTGCTAAAATTGAATAGTTTTCCTTTGATACTATTTCTATCTTAACATGATTCTTGACCTGCCATTGTGTATCTGTTCCTACCAAACCCAGCCAGTTGAAGCAGATAGCCACTTCTCCTGAGCCTGGTTCTGCTAAAGGTTTCTTCCTCATGAGGGAGTTTTTCCTTTCCACTGTTGCCTTCATGCTTGCTCAAGATGAGAGTTCTTTGATGGAGTTAAATTCAAAGCAGTCTGCTCCTCAGATAAATAGTGGTATCTTATTATTTTTACAAATGAATGTTTCTGTTCAGTGCCCTGAGACAACTTCTGTTGTGACTTGGTGCTATATAAATAAACTGAACAGTGTAGCATGAATGGCAGCCCATATGTTTCATTTGGTAATAACGTTGCATTCACGTGTAGATAATCTGAATTTACTCTAATACAACTCCACACCATCAAAACCTGTACATATATTTACAATAAAATAAATTAATAACAAAAACAAAACACAAAAGTCTTTGCTTCTATATGTGATGCCATTTTTGTAATGTTGTCTGGTAAATATCTGGTTTAGATACTTTGCAAACAATGTATTGCGTTTTTACCTCCTGCAGCATCCAAACTTTGTTTAAAGTTTGATTCGTATTTTGGGTTTTCATTTGTATTCAACAGCTTTTGCTTTCTTTACATCAAGGCCATACTTGCTACTGAAGCAGATCATGTTGAAAAGCTTTTTGTCTGTAATGAGGGTTTGTTTTGGTTGGGCGAATCGTGCCTGAATTACATAATTTTAGAGTTGCACTCACACATTCGTTTGAAAAAGCAACAAAAAGGCAAAAACAAAGAAGAGAATCGCTCTCACCACAAACACATGCTTTGAGACGGCCCCCTCAACTATCTCTGCATCTTTCTATCTCTCGTTCACTCTCTCTCAGACCTTCTGTCCCCATCTCACCCACTCCTCCCTCACACATCACACCTCTCATTACTCCACAGTGAGAGGCCAATCCGAAGGAGGAGAGTGCCAGTGCTTGTGTGATTGGAGCTGTTGCAAATCAATGCCTCGCTGACCGCTTGTCCATCTTCAGCTCTGCTCTTGTGACTGGAAGTCAGATAAATCAGACAAACTGAGACTTGGGAGTATGAGTCCTTGATATTTTGTTGAAAAAACCTGAGAAATTTAGTTCTAAAGATAGCAATGTTGGGCCAGATTACACTGCTAAGTGGTGGGGAATATTTCAGTGCCTCCTGTCATTCTAAAACATATTATGTGAAAGAATAAAAACAATAAAGTCAAATGGATTCACACATTATTTGGTTTTAGAAAATACATTTATACTGGCATTATCATCATTGTCATCTAGGGGATCCTGGGTCATATATGAACTGCAAACTCAACCTTTCTGGGCCACAAAGCATCAAAATACAGTATGAATAAATTGTGCAAAATCTATTATGGAGCTAAGGTCCAGCTCAGGACAGGCAATGACAATGCCTTTGCTAATCAAGGAGCTCAGTTACAGCATATGGTCAATGTTGTCTGAAAAAGAGTAATAAAATAACATGCAGCAGCCGAAGCTCTAAAAGGTGTTGGTGTCCTTGCTTCCTGAACTGTATGTGGTGAGAAATGAACTCCTGAACTGGGGAGTTGTAAAAAGCATGGAATCTTGCACCAGTAGGTGCTAGACTGAGCTGACAAGTTTAAATGAGTATCCTGAGCAAATATGCCACGAGTGAGCTGAGCAATAATTTACAGTGGTATCAGCCATTGTTGTAAAGGTAGATGTCTGTGAAGTTATTTTGTAAGTGGAGCAGGAGTACACTAGAGCCCGATCGATCTATCGGTAGGGCTGATAATTTAGGCCAATATAGGTGTTTGGGGACCTATTGGTATTGGTGATAATTGTTCCATTATGCACCAATTTAAGTCCTTCTAATTTCCACCCCTAAAATGCTGGGAACCAACCATAATTGTACAATGCATCCAGCAGAGGATGCATGAAGACTACTTTCAAGTCATTGTCATTCACTTAAGTTTCACTTTCACGTTCAGCACAGACTAAAACAGACTATACTTATATAGCATTTTCTATCTTATCATGACACTCAAAGTGCTTTACACTACAATCTGTGTCCTCATTTACCCATTCATACAGCACTCTACTAGATCTCTACAAAGCTAATAGAACAAATCATTCTAAAGAGACTAATCAGTCTTTTTGATCACATTCATACACCGATGGGACACACATCAGAGGCAATGAAGGGTTCAGTGTCTTGCCCAGAGACACTTGGGCAGTGACTGCTGGTGGATTCAAACCCCCAACTCTTGCATTGGAGGACGACTGCTCTAATCACGCAGCCACAGACTAAGCAGGGAGCAATACTGTTTAGGGTATTTTGCTGAACAGATCACAGTAAGCTTATTGAAACTATCTGTAAATTAAAATAAAAATCAACAATAATAAATTATCTTCAATCCTCCAACCCACTTGTCATTAGCTACGTGCCTCTCAAGTTAACAAGCTAACTTTTTAGATAACCTAGCATAGGATATTGCCTTGTAAAACTTTATCCAGAACAATAAATATAACGTAGCGGTAAATATATATCAATGCTAGTAACGTTATATTTGTCGTCCTCAAAAAAGAACAAAGAAGAAAAAAGAGCACTGCTGCAGTCAATACTAATTAGACCTTCATCATACGGGACTGACTGTTTAAACAATGAAGAGGGAAGGGTATTTCTTTGTTTAATTTATATTTATGTAACACACTTGATAACTTTATGGTGAAAAGTGGAGGATAGAAAATGTGAATGCACTTTAGGAAGACTTTTTTTATGACTAGTGCACAACTTGTAAATCTACTGTGGGACTACCTATAGCATGGATCTGATTTGCTTAGTTTCATGGTTGCTAACAGCCACGCTAAATAAACAAGCCCTGCTCCACTTGCTGTTTTCTTAGATTCTTGGGGACGGACAAAGCCCAAATATTTTCAGCCATTATATCGGTTATCAGTGGCTGTCTTCCTCTCTCAGTATCTGTATCGTCGATAGCTAAAATTTCCATATCGGTCAGGCTCTAGAGTAAACAACAATTATGTCATCTATTTGAATATTCCAGTAATTCAAAGCTTTCTTTTTATTCTTATTAATTTTAATTTACAACACTTTACAATTGAAAACATAAAAAAATGTAAAAATAAATTTGTGGCAGCAAAATTTGAAAAATTAATAACAAAACAATCAGGTCCTAGCTATGACTGGCTCCTATACCGTCTACTTAGCACAACTCTGGCCTATAACCATATTTTGTCAATTGTAGGGGTTATATCCCCTACAATAAATGATAAAACAAACCCACTTGAAATCATCTTAATAAAAAAAAGTTATAACAAGTAGGGCTCTTTTTTTTTTTTTTACTTCCTACTTCTTACTATACTTGCATTGAATGCAAAAGTAGATCAGTAATCACTTCAGTGAATTATTCATGTTGAAAAAAATCCACTTTATTTGCATTCTGTTTTTCAAGCAGGAGAAAATGTATGACATATTCAAGATGAATTATGCTGAAATCTCACCAAGATCTGAATGTCAATATTGCTTATGAAGCATTAGGCTTGAGAACACTGTTTGTCAGCGGGGTTATAGCATGCACCCGCAAACTGTGCTGACTCCTCAATTACGTGTACAATGACGCTTACAGAATACATCAAAATGCTGCTGATTGACTACTTGTTCCTCATCACAACTGTTCTGTAGGGAAATGACACTGAATATAAACTACTTATGTCAAAAATGCATTGTGCAAACATACACACATGTCGTTTAAAATTTGCATTTAAAAGAAAAATTCAAGTACCTTAATCTTTACAATATGGTCAAAAACTTTAAAAGCTCAAATTTAAAGACAGAACTCCATTTTAGTTGACTTTTTGATAAATTAATTCCAACAAAAAGGTGTATTGATTAAACGGACGATTGGTCAGAATCAAAGGCCTGCAAAACGGAAATATATTTTAAGGTTTAGATGCACCAGTCTAAACCAGGAGCTTGTTTTATGAGTGAAAATTCCATTTGTGTGGAGCTTGGAGACATGTTACATCCTCAAAATTCAAGAAACCCACAGAGCTCATTATATTACCTAATCAAAAAAGGTGTGAAGATATTGACTTTTTTTTCCCATAAATTGAAATTGCGCACCACAGCATGCAAAAACTGCTAAATAGAATGTATGAGAAGTTTTCACAGCTTTGCAGTCAGTCCTTTTCTCTGCAGAAAGAAAACTTTAGCCTTGCACAAAAATGGTTTTATGCAATATCGTGTGGCTCAAAGGCAACAGAGTTGATCAGAAAAAAAAAAAGATCAATATCACTTTTTATTCCATAGTCTCAAGCTCAAACAAGCTGCAGCTAAAATCTAAATATTGCACTTGAGTTGTTCTTGACAGTCAATTCAATTCAATTTATTTATATAGCGCCAAATCACAACAAAGTTGTCTCAGGGCACTTTACAAGAACATTCACATACATAAAAGCCAATTCATGCAGTGAGAACACGAAAATAAAATATTTACTTCTGCAGGGCATATTTTCCTTTTAGTTTCATCTACTGTCACACAGTTCCAACTCAACGCCCCTTTTCACATTTGGAATATACTGTAAGACATTATTGGGTTCAAAAATCTGTTAAAAAAGAATCAATGTCTTTCAGATTCATACATTCTTTAGGGCATCTATTTTCATGTATCTTACAGCTTTGGTCAACAATATCTGTGACAAGACTCAGAACTAAATGTTACCAAGTCCCATCCTATAAGAATATGTTTAAGAAAGGTTATAGCTGACAAGAGCAGTGCCCGTAAGGTCAAAGGAAAAGATATAGGTAATTGAAATCCAAATGGAGACATGTATTAGTGTTTACATGTGTGCACTATAATACTTACGCATCTACATCTGGCATCAGGTCCAGCTTGCTGGGGAAAATCTCAGAGAGAAGCACTCGTGTGTAAGACTTGCCCAGAGACTGAATCCTTGACTCGAGGTGCTAAGAAGGGAAACAGGTCAAACAAAACACTAATGTAAAGGCTTTCAGAACGAAACAAGAGTGCCACATTATAAGCCGTTCGAAAAAATATTATACAGCAATCAATAGCAATGGTTCAGACAAGCAGACCTTGTATAAACTCTGACCTTGATTTGTGACCTTGATCTTGACACTGGGGCGATGAACAGGTAATGTAACACATTGTCTTGTGGTGGTACAAATTTGCATCAAGTTTGTTAAAATGATTTGAGCTGATCATAAGTTATGGTCAGAACAAGCAAAGACCTTGTTTTAACTTTGATATTGATTTGTGACCTTGACCTTGGAGCTAGGGTGATGAAAAGTGTACACAATACTCCTTCTGGTGATGATATTGGGATTACAGGAACAACTCTAAAATGGTTTAAATCATATCTATCTGATAGATTCCAGTTTGTAAATGTAAATAATAAATCTTCACACCAAAGATAGCCATGGAGTTCATCAGGGCTCAGTGCTTGGGCCAATACTCTTTACTTTATATATTCTTCCATTAGGTAAAATTATTAAACAGCAAGGGATCAATTTTCAGTTATGCTGATGACACACAAATATATTTGTCCATTAAACCCAATGAATCCAATCAGCTACTTAGACTACAAGCATGTCTTAAAGACATAAAAACCTGGATGACCCTTAATTTTCTCCTTTTGACCACAGACAAGACTGAGGTTTTGGTTTTTGGACCTGAGCACCTTAGGAATGAATTTTTCAGTCTTTCTCCCTCCTTAGATGGCATTAATCTGGCCCGTTCTAATGTTAAAAATCTTGGTGTTATTTTTGATCAGGACATGTCTTTTAACCCCCACATTAAAAACGTTATTAGAACTGCCTTCTTCCACCAGCGTAATATCACTAAAATTAGAAACATCTTATCTAAAAATGATGCAGAAAAACTGGTCCATGCATTTGTCAGGTCTAGACTGGACTATTGCAATGGTTTATTACCTTGGTGTCCAAATACTTCTTTAAAACGTTTTCAGTTGGGAAAAAAAATGTATGAAAATGAAAAAAATGTATGTGAAGTTTGTTAATTTATCTTGAGCAGATCAGAAGTTATGGGCTGTACAAGAGAAAGTTTACAGCATATATACATAATACATTTGCCTTCAACAGATGTATAACAAACCCTTTCTTAAACTTTGTTTAGGGTTTATCTATAATGCAAAGACATTGCAGTTGCACTTTGTTCAGAACCTTTTGTTTCTTAATGAATGCTGTAAGATACAATTTCCATTCACTTTCAAGTAATGTTATTGCATGTACTTGTGAAAATTACAAAACTATATATTTTAGTGTTAGATCTGTGCAACTATTACAGTAAGTTCTTAATGTATTTCTTTACATTTTCATACAGTTAAATGTTCCTCAAAAAACTGTTAAACATTTAAGCTCAAACAAAGAGGTTCAGTTATCTGCTACAAGTACAAGTGTTGTCTTTCATTATACCAGCCTGAAGAGATTTTATGTGTCCCTCATGGACTATGGGCTGAAGATGTTTAGGTATGGTTATGTAGGTTTTACAAGTGTTTTATAGCACTGTGGCGTCCATAACAAAGTGCATTTTCAATTAGATTGACAATAACATTGAAATCTGCTAAATAGGGCAACAATTGCTATCCTGGATATAGGTGAAGTAATCATTGATGTCAAGTTGTTTGTTCCTGAGTTAAGATAAACTGCTTTACATATTTATGTAATGGCTGAGTGGTTAGAGCAGTCATCCTCCAATGCGAGAGTTGGGGATTCGAATCCACCAGCAGTCACATGTTGAAGTGTCCCTGGGCAAGACACTGAACCCCTCATAGCCTCCGATGTGTGTCCCATTAGTGTAAGAATGTGGTCTAAAGCACTGATTAGTTTCATTTAGAATGATTTGTTCAATTAGCTTTGTAGAGATCTAGTAGAGTGCTGTATGAATGGGTAAATGAGGACACAGATTGTAGTGTAAAGTGCTTTGAGTACCTTGAAATAAGATAGAAAGGCGCTATATAAGTACAGTCCATTTACCATCCATTTGTATTTATGTTAAATAAATGATAGATATTTTGCATGATGCAAAGGAGGCTATGTGTAACATGACTAGAGACAAATGTGTGTCCATGTGTTAGATTTTGGGTTATTAACAGAAACGTGGATGTGTAAATACAACAATGGAGTGGAACCAACCCCATGTCGCAAATGTTTTCTCTTCAAACTGCTTAAAGTCCACGCTTAAATTTAATCCTAGCCTTAAGTAGTCCTTTAGCTGACACTCCAGCTTGAAAACTGTGATAAATACTTCTGGTAGCCTACAGTCCTATAACCTCACAGTTAACATCTTCAATCCACATTTTACGTTTTTTTTTCCCTGGGTTGTAAAGCTCCACTACAGAAGATGATAGATCACAAACCATAACACATTACATATTCTTTTATTGACACCCCTACGAGGACTTGTAAGAGGTTTGTTTTTAAAGGTAATCTCAGCAACAAACCTACTTCATTAAAACCTTGAGCTTTGAATCCTCAAATATGCATCCAATCATTTGCATAGTGACAACACACTGAGTAGTGTAGAAGAGAGAAGCACCTTCTCTGCCAAGTCCTCCAGGTAGTACTTATATTACACACAGGTGCAGCATGATTTATCGCAGTATATTGTTTATTTTGCTAGGTTGCCTTTTTCAGTTATGGTCATTGCGTTGCCTCAGTGGAGCATTTAAGTGTTGATTCTCACAATCACTTCACACTCATCAGTAAACAGCTACTTTGTGAGCTGGGGTACTTTTAGTTCACATAATTACACCATAAGCAAATATGCAATTTTGAACTCATAACATTGATATTTTGGCACTCTTTTTAAATATATATTATTATTTTCACCACATTGTCATTGCAGGATTATGGGAAACTAGTGCCTATCTCCAGAAGTCATTGGGTGAGTGGTGGGGTACACCCTGGACAGGTTGACAGTCCACCACAGAACTATTGTAGAAACAAATGAGCCAGACAACCATTCACTCTCTCACTCACACCTAGGGACAATTTAGAGTTACCAATCAGCCTAATATGCATGTTTTGGTCTGTGGGAGGAAACCAGAAAGCCAACACATGCATGGAGAGAACATGCAAACTCCACACAGAAAGGCTGTAGCTGAGTTTTAAACTTGCAACGTTCTTGCTATGATGGCCCTCAGCTGAATGCTGTTGCACCAATAAAACCTTCCTGTAGCCATCTGTATAGGAGCACTTGGCTTGAATTTTTGAGTTTTGAACAAGCGCCCACAAACAATACTGCCACATTTCAAATTAAGCCCCAGAAGGTTCTATACATAAAGAACTGAAACTAAAACAAACCCCATCCAATTCTCCCAGAGGACACAACTTTTTATGTACTTCTATAAACGTCACCTTTTCCAGTATAAAAAATGTACACGTGCTAACGAACTGAATTATTAATGTTCTTCAAATGCATTTCAAGTAATTCACTTAAACAACTCGAGAAAGGAATATATAACCAGGAATCAAGTTGCAGACAGTGTATTGGGTGGAATGATGGAGCAGATTTTCAGTCGTTCAGGACGACACATCTATTTAGAAATAGGACAGAACAATGATCAATCCTGGAGAGGAGCAAAGTACAGATAAAGCTGGCTCTCCTTTCCATCCTAAGGGTAAGTTACATCAGATGCCTCAAGCACAAACCCTGACAACAGGATTCATGTATCAATAAATTAATGTGTTCAGTAAGTTTAAGAAACTTTGATTTCCTACTGCCTCAGTGGGCAGTCGTCTGGGGTGTTATGAGTCCAGAAGGCAACCAAACCAAGAGAAGAAATCCCACAAATGTTTCTTAAGTGAGATAAAGGTAAAGGTTGCTGATATCCACTCTCCTAGGGAGGATTATGAGACATTTTTATGACTGTGTTCTTATCAGGGATAGTTCTGTTCTTTCATTTGTGAGGTTATCTGACACCACACTTCTTAATCTTGGCAGATCGCCATGGGAGAGCTGAGGAGTTTTTATTCAAATCTCCCTTTTAAATCCGTGCTCCTCTGCAACTACAAAATGAAACTTTTTTTTAATCTCTTGTTGACATTTTCACATCAATGCCAACTTTAATCCTTCAAGTCTTGATTTTTTACAAACAGAGGAGTACTTCAGTAAGCTTGAAACTTTGTATTAACTTAAAAATGCTGGTGAAGTGGGTTTGAATCAGTAACATTTAGGATTTGATTGATGTCCTTGCATTTAGCAACACCTTAACTGTGGTGGCATATAATTTAAATGGGACATACTTTTCACAACACTTTGAAATGTCTACATTAGATCATATTTGACTTTTGATATCAATGTGATAAGAGACGTTAATATTCCTTCCAAACACAGCAAGAAAATATGGAGGATTAGACCTTCTAGAGATATGTGGCTGCTTCATCCCAAATGTGGAATAACAAACTACTACGATGAACACTGCATGTACAATCAGTACCACATGTCATCAGATCACTTGTCAAAGCAACTCACACTGTACAGTATTACAAGCCATTGCACAAGAAGCCTCAGGACATGTGTATTGCTAAAATAGGTCTGCAAACTCACCTCTAGCACTTTGGGACTACCCTGTCTTCCTAGTGTGCCCAAGATCAAGCCCCATCTATGGGCTAGCCGAGCCTTGTCAATAGCCTGCAGCCTTAAAGCACGCATGGCCTCATGGTCAAAGTATTCCCTGGAGAACACCTTGCTGTAGGGGTCATATCTACAGACAAGCACAGACAGAAAATAGCTGAGACACACAAAAGTTTTGACATGAACATTAATAGCCATGTTATATCATGCACACTACCAAGCTGTTGTTAAGGTGTATATCTTGGGGGAGAAATGCAAAAGATGATAATAAATTCAATCATAGAGCACGATCAAGTACAACAGGAGATCTGGTACGTTAGGGCAGTGATTCCCTACCCTGGTCCCTGAGGAATACCACCCTGCATGTTCTAGCTGTTGCCTGCTTACACACCTGATTCAATGGTTTAATTAATTCCCCAAGTTCTGCTGAAGCCTGTTAATCACCAAATCATTCAAATCAGGTGTGTTAAAGCAGGGAAACAGCTAAAACATACAGGATGGTGTTCCTCAGGGGCCAGAGTTGGGAACCACTGCGTTAGGGAAACTGGGGTGTTTCTGAACATTTAATATTAATTTCTCTGATACAAGGGGTACACTTTAGATTAAAATCTTATTAGGATAGTAACCTGTGATCTGTACAACAGCACATATATAATGTGTTTTTACTAGACTGCAAACAAGCCCTCAGTCAAACTTTGATCTCAGCACATTCAAGAAGAATAAGGATGACTTAAAGTAATATTTTTAATTTAAAAACCATAAAAAAACTGCAAAACACACATATTATTAAAACATTATCTTAGTTATAAGGATAAAAAATAGTGTTAACCACATAGGAAACAGCTTATCTTTAACTTTGTGTGTTCAGACGTACACACATGTCATTAACATAATATTAAATACATTGAAATTATGGTGATTAAGTGATGCTAAGTCTAGAAACATCAGAAGTAAATAAAAATAAAAATCTAAACCAAAACAACATCTGACTAAAGTATGGTTCAGTTTTGATCATATTACCTGTAAGCAGGAATGTCTGGGTTTGCAATCATGATAGATTCCAAATGGAATCTTCCATCACCAAGATAACTATAAAAATACAAAATAGATATTAAAAACTTTTTTTTTTTTACATGAAATAAGGGGGGAAAAAAGAAGATTTTTTTTGGGATCAAGTCAAATTCAAACAACTGAAAACAAATAAAATCACCCTTGCATCAATTTGTATTACTATTTTTTTTTTTTTACTCTTCATCTTCACAGCCTCTAAAAACAAAACTAAAGTATTTGAACCCAGGATTTCGAGATGATTTATGGACTGGAATGTTTTTGGTGGAAGATTTTCAAGTCCATATAAGTTACAATGAGTATAAGAAGTAGTTTTTTATTTTTTTTATAATTTTTTTTTGTCTGAGGCAGCACAGGGTGATGGATCTTGGTGAATGGAGGAAGCAATTTTATTCACTATTACCTGCAATGGGGGAGCCAGGAGGTGGCCAATGGTAGCTTTGGCCACCATAGATTAATGTCGGGCTGCCTCAATCATTTAAGGAAACTATACTTCTAAGCAATATAAAATAAGATATATATATATATACACCTTTTACCTTATACATGTACCTTTTTTAAAACTGGAACAAGCCACTAACCTCACAAATTGGATTATTTTTGAGCAGATTGAATGAAAACACAGCTTGTTTGCCATACAGCTAACTAAAAATCTTGGCTTTGCCCAGACCCCATTTGTTGCATGTTTGTCTGAAAACACACCTGTTTCTCTGTATGTAATAAAATTGAATGATAGCACAAAATGAATTCAAGCATAGCCTGTGCTGTGTTGCTTTTCTTTGCTTAGGAACATCCCAGGCTCTCATATAATTACATCCCCAACAATAACCCTGCTGCACATTAGTTCTGTTGTCCTGAGCCATCGGTGGCCACGAGAGGCTCAGCTGTTCAATTCTACTGTTTCTTTCAGAGCTTTTGCTTTGTCATTACATTCACATATTGTTCTATTCTGAGAAAGAGCTCAAGCACAGGGCAGCACACAGAAACGGTCCACTGATCTCTTCTTTAAACTTGTTCCAGGGCCTTTCCAGCTCTTTAACTGGGCCTTTTCAGTGCTCCAAGATGAGCTTCAGTGACTGATACGCTGCCAGTATAACGCTCAAGCAATTCACAAAATACATTTATATACTTGTGCATATAGCATTTCTAATGCGCTTATATTTAACATAAACCAAAGTTAAAGATTAATAAATATTTATCAAAAATTATAAAAAAACTCAATTTATCACTGAGCTGACTCACCTGCACAAACCCCATCCCCCCACCCAGGCCTCCAGCTATGTACTCACTCCACCGAGGGTTTCAAGTAGGGAGAGTATTATGTGGGCGATAGGCCCAGGGTTCCTGTCAGGGTCCGAGTTTAGGCTTGGCAGTCAGGGTTTAGTTTACGGTCAAAGGGTGGGGTTAGGGGCAGGGTTTGTTTTAAAGACAAAGGTCAGAGGGTTAAGTTTAGAGAAAGAAAGGTGTCCTGGGTTAAGTTTAGGTCAGGGCTCTGGGTTAGGTGTAGCAGTCTGGGCTAGGTTTAGGGTATGGTTTGGTTTAGAGTCAGAGTGTTAGGTTTGGGTTTGGTTTAGTGTATATCTTCGATCTTTATATACTGTTTCTTTTTATACTTTATAATTTTGCTATATTTGGGTGTAACTGGAACCTTGAGTACACAATTTTGTTCCACCTCATGTACCACACGTGATGCAAAATGACAATAAAGAACACTAAACCTTAAAAAACATACTATTAAAAATGGGGTCAGTGTTAAGGATCTATGCTGCTTTGGTTATTGATAGTGACTTATCAGTCGTGTCATTAACGATTGTAATTCATTAAAGTATACAGAAACTTAGTTATAAGTGGGAAACATTTAATCTCTTAGAAAGCTTTCAGTGACGCTGCTGCAGCATAATAAAACACTTCATCAATTTGGTGCTTTAACAGATAGAGAGTTATGACCCATGTTAGGATGGCTTAAATCTCCACCCTGTCAATATGTTGCTCGTATGTATAATATAATCCTATTAGTATTGAATGTGTGGAAGAAAGGTGAAGAGGAAGGAACCGACTTCAGGCAAACCAATTGATTTTTCTCATCACCCTCCTACACGCCTCATGCACACATGACAGACAACATACATTAGATTAGCAGGTGAAACACACTAACTCTCACACCACTTTTGGCTCCACTTATGCATATGGCAAAGCTCTTTCGCATGTTGTTATTTTAATCTCATGCACTGGAAGTTTTAATTTGCATAGACTAATGCTAAATGACTAACAAACACAGGGGGAAATTCACCTCCGCATAATTAAATCAGGGGAATTACATTATCTCACTGCGTGTGACGAAACACAGGATTTGTCACATGTTGATCAACACGATCTGAGCATTATGTATTGAAACAAAACAGCTGCAAGGTTGTTTGCTGCATAGCCTCAATACTTTGTCAAATCACTCTCCTCCCTGCAACACTCTGAAAACTCTGAACTGTTTGGAGAATATGTGAAAACACAGAATAGATGTTCTTTTAGAGCACTGGCAACTACTGACTGCATATAGTATGCTCTTTTTTTCACAGGAAAGATTATAACTTAAAATAGACAATCAAACGAACTGCAACAAATTTCCAAACTGTTGTGTGTTGCACCATTTATCAGTTTTCACCTGCACATGTCACAGTAGGTGTCATAATTTGTAAAGCACTTCTTAAAAAACGTGGAAAATTTGGTAAGGATGTGGATTTCCTGCAGTTTGAAACAGCCAAAAGTGTCAAGCTATATCTAATTCAGTGATTTTTCACAGCAAGAAGGTATTTTTAGTCTCACTCTTCTAGATTAGCATCAGGCTTTTTCTGATTGCATATACCACACTGACAAAATTAGTACCATTTGACAACTATATTTCATGTGACTTCAGTATTGTGGTACAGGCATTGATTGAATAAATTGGATGGGTAAATTATGTACAGGAGTAAGTAATGGACACAATAACTGAGGTGGCAATGATTGATGAAACAATACTTGACGTCGTTTGCTATTTAAATTCAAAGGGTAGGCTGAAAATGGTAATAGAAAATTATCTCTTACATTATGGCATCAACATGGCGATCCAGATGTGGAGAAGTACACCCCAAAATTTCTCCAGGTGATAAAGGGCGACATTGGGGGACAATGACATCATACTCTGGCTTCAGAGCTGCACTCACAGCCTTCAACATAAACAAAAAGGGATAAAATACAAGGATTTTTTTTAACAGTTGGGGAAGTTCATTCAAAATGAGACAATTTCTCTAGCTGGAATATTTAAGGATGTGGGAGAAATAATGAACTTTTCTTTTAAAAAAAAACAAATAAATAAGCTGTTCATCTGTTTCTAAAAGGTACTGACAGTATAATCAGATTAGAGTCATTTATAAAATTCAGCCAACTCAAATGCATCTTTTCAACTTATTAGTACACATAAGTAGCAGAGCAGCAAAACATGATGAGCCTTCCACCATGCTTTACAATGGGAATGACATTCAGATGTTATATCTGTCAATAAGACACTGCCAAAAGTGGCAAAAAGCCTATGACCTTTTCAGAACTTGATGCATCAATGTATATTTATGTATTTTGTCAATTTCTATTGGCATTTATGTTGTTTTAAATTGTTTTTTTTTTCATTCAACCTTTATTTAGACAGGTAAATCCCAATGAGCCTCGAGGACTCATTTACAATAATGTTTTGACAAACGATATTTAGACAAGAACTCAGCTAAAAGAAATCAATAAATTAATGACTAGCAGTTTTATTTCTAAATGCAGACATTTCACTTATTTGAAGGTTGGTCATAAATTGTTGGTACCATTTCATAGCTTAGGTTATTAAAACAGCTGGTTATTAAAGCACTGAATTGCTGTTACAAATGCAAAGTAATGTTTAAGCCAGTTAGGGCTAGTAAATACAGCAGTTAAACACATTAAAATCCTTCTCTTACATATCTGCTGCATATTCCCCAGACTTTACTGTTTGTTCATTCCTTTGTGTGCTAATTGGTTTTTTAGAATCTAATCCTGATCTCGGTCATTATACACATTTTTTGTTTATTTTTATAATGGCAGATTTGATTAATGCACTGATGGTGGATTTACTGACAAACAGGGAACCTAAATGCCCACTTTCCAGAGAAAAAAGCTAATATTGCATTTCCAAGTTGTGGGCTTAAGCATAATACAAAGTATGTGTCTAATATTAAATAATAATACGAACAGTCAGTTAAGCAAAGCTTTTTCTACTCAGTGCAATGAGTTTAACAGAAACGATCTAGAGATTTGAATGGCTCACTGAAGAACAATTTTCAAATTGTGTAAGCGGCCATGCCTACAATCAATGCTAAAAAAAAAAAACGTGGATGCATACACACATAAATGCACTGAAACAGCAAACATACAGTATAATACTACCCAAGAGGGCAGAGCATGGTTTAAAAATAGTGTTGGTTACATTAGTGAAGGCCCACAGTGGTGCTGGAAAACAGCAGATCACATTATAGAACAGGAAGGGAGCAATCCAGAAAGAGGGACGTTAAAGCTTAATACTAGAACTGCTGCACTGCTTATGTAAAGAGCAGTCCTGAGCATGATGCTGAAATGAGAGGCTTTCCAAGGTCAATGCACCTTTCAAAGCAAAAATAACTGCTGCCAGATTTAACAAACCCACACTTGAACTGAGCTAAAGGAGTGTTGCTAAAGGATTGTTCATAAAAACCTGGAACCATGAAAAATAAACAGCAAAAATGATCAGATTAATGCATGTCTCTATGTTTCTGCACTGCAAGTATAACCTTATATGTGAATAATGGTGAAATGAATGTTGTTTATTAGTCTGTTTGAGGTTTTCTCGAAGCAAAAACGCATATCCACGCGTACAAAGATTCATATATAAGCATTGCTGTATCACCTGCAGTGCTGCCACAAACTGAATTGTGCTGACAAGTGCCAAGGATTTCCCAGGAAGGTAGTTGAACTTGACTGTGTCCAAGAAATGTGCATTATCCATCTGGATATCCACAAACACATACAGCATCTTAATACCTGCAGTGGAATCTATAGGAACTGTAAGAAGGACAAAGACAAAGAAAAGACAAATTAATAATTTACTCTTTCATGACAGAAAAGCATACATTATGTGCCTTATTGGTGGCGCCTTAAACATTAACATGCTGTTGTTCAGACATACAGCTATATATATCCATGCATGTACTTTTATAAATCCCAGCTGGCGTCTGCAAGATATAATTGAAAATCATTCAGATCAAGTTGCTAGCTCATGCAGGAACTGATGCAAAGACCTCAATTATTTAGGGAAGGAGAGAGACACATGTGATCGCTATTAATGCCATTAATTTCATAGGCCATTTACCACGCACTCGGGCTTAGGAGGCACAGCTAGAGATGTGCCGAGGTGGATGCTGAGCAAATGAGTCCAGAAAAAGAGGTGACTAAAAGAGCACATAAAACTGAGGAATTATTGTTTGTGCTCATAACTATTCCACGTCTTATGTTACATAAAATTTACACTTCAGAAGCAAGAGGACATCTTGTTTTAATTAAATAAATGACCTAGTAAGGTAAACATCAGAAACCAGTGAAACTTGCTTATTGGACTAAATTAAAACCACTGAAAAAGTAAAGTATGGTAAGGTTCAGAATATCAAGAAAGAGATGCTGCTTCTTTGCAAAGGAAGAATGAGTAGAAACAGAAGTGAACAATAGGAAATCCCAACAGAAGTAGGCTGGAAAACACTAATTTAATTTAGAGGCAGGGGGTAGGTGATTTAATCTCCAACTATATAAAGTTCAAACGATTTGGCATGAAAGATAGGAGTGGAAAAAGTAATAGGATACCGAGTGTGTGAATGTGGATTTGGCTAGAGTGTGTGAGATGGGTTGTCAATTAACTGAAAACAGAAGTGATGAATGATCCCACATCTCAGTGAGGAGAAAAAGATAAGGAAATAGATACGTGTTTAAAAATCTGTTTTACTGAAGGGAACCAAGGAGTTAAACCATCAGAGGAAGAGCAGATAAGTAAAACCCTCAGGGACTAACAGATGTCCATTGCTTGTTTTTAGACCCTCCCCAAAAGAAAAGGGAAGAGCAAAGTGACATTGATCTGTGTTCACATTAGCATGATAGCCTGAGTGCACTTAGGTGCTGCAAAAAACAGTCCATGAGAGAGACAGGACATACTTGCACCATAGGTTTTATTGTCATATGTTCTTGCAATAAGGTCTAATAACTCAGTTGCTGATCAATACCCACATTTACAAATACAGTATGTGGGCATATTGAATGAAGGTAAACATAGGCCATTAGGGTTTAATAGCTTTACAACAAATTATTTGTTAAAAATAGACTAAAAACAATATATGTCTTATATGCTGTATTTAATATGTGGTGCTACATTAGTCAATATTTGACTTTTGATAATTGTTGACATTTCCTATATGACATTAATTAGGCTTGATCACATGACTACAATGTAGCAGCCAAATGATATGTCTGTTAGGATGATGTAACCAAGTGTTTGTTTAACATAACTGTTACCTGAGTTAATATATGAATATATGTGCATTTCTCCTTCTTGAATCGCCACCTTATCATGATGGAGAAGTGTGTGCGCCTGAATGATAGGAGCCATGCTGTCTGGTAGGATCACCCAAGGCAAATTGCTCCTAGGTGATAGACCAGACAAAGAGTGATTCAACACATATGTATGGACAAAAACAATCAAAGAACTCTGTATCCCTTGCCTGGACATGGGTTACCGGGGCCCCACCCTGGAGCCAGGCCTGGGCAAGGGGCTTGTTGGTGAGCACCTGTTGATGGGTCTCTACATATGAAGACTGGTCAGGCTCAGCCTGAATGAGCAACATGGGTTTGCCTTCATGTGGGCGCACCATTTGCAGGAGGGGCCATATGAGTCGGGCACATGATACTAGGGATGCACCGATCCACTTTTTTTACTTCTGATCCGATCCCGATACCTAGATCTGAGTATCGGCCGATACCGATCCAGTTCCGATATCATGATCATCATTGATTTTATATGAGGCTGTAATAATCTCCTCTCAAGTACAATTTGTACAAATATTTGCATGCATGTCTAAAAAGGCAACTTGAGGTAAGTTTTATTAATGTTGGATAAGTTTTAAAGTTAGAATTAAATTCTGCTAACACAAAACATGTTTCTTTTTATTCCTAGCTTCAAAGTGGATATTAAAATGATTAATTTAAGTGATATATATATATATATATATATATATATATATATATATATATATATATATATATATAAATATATATGTATGTATATACCCTGAGATGACTTCTGTTGCGGCTTGGCACTTTATAAATAAACTGAATTAAATTGGATTGATCGAAATAGCAAATTAATGAATGAGAACAAAAAAAAGTACTGATGACAGAAAGCAAATACTAACACGGAAACAAGTTTTACATTGTTGAGGCAAAGTGAAAAAGTGAGCAAAATTGTTTTAAATGCAAGAAAGTCAGAAGACAGGAACGGAGGGAGGGGCATTTGCAGAGGTTCATAGTCAAAGATATGCACATGCTAAAGGGGATTTTGCAGTTTAGTTATTTGTAAGCATTTTTTTTTCTACAGAGTTAAAAAAGTATTTAAAACTAAAGTTCTAGTTAACAGAAATACTTTTTTTTTGTTTGTTTTTTTAGATTTAAAGAAAAGACCAATTTTATAATTCAGCATTTCAACAGGATAGCATCAATAGATCATAACTAAATTATATAGTCCACATATTGCAGCACATTTAGGTGCTTCATAATGGAAAAATATAAAATAAGTAAGATTTTTAAAACAAATATTGGAGAGAAAAAAAGAGTAACACAGGAAAGACTGTTGCTCTGAGTCAGTCAAACATTGTCTTTCATCGTTCACAGGTGGCTGAAATCTTGGGAAAGAGTGTGAATGATGTTTCATGAGGGAGAGATACAGACTAGGATCATATACACAAAGGCACCCATAAACTCTGGGAATTAACTCTTTGTTCAATATATCTTTAAAGTCTCCATCTATTCTAGTTTCATGCTTACATTTACTTGATTCTTTTAAGCATAAATGGTGTTGAGTACATATCTCATCTTCTCTGTAAACACAAGCCAACACTCATATAATTCTGCCATGATATATAAATAATGCACCCCCCAACGCACACACATACAAAGACAAATAAACAAAAAGCATATCTCAACAAAATCAGCTTTCCACGTTTTTATTAAAATTCTGCTGGTCATTTCTGGTATTTGGAAGAGGTGAGATTGTTCTGGCAGAGATATATCAAAACTATTGATTTAACATTTCCTCTCATGTTCTGGAAGAGACAGACAGCGGGGGTGAGTGTGAAGGTCCTCAAGAACTGCTTGGGGTTTTCAAAGGACACCTCTAACGCAGGTTCTAAATTGATCTGAAAGCGAGGCTCCAAAGGTCTGATATTCTTTCCATATAAGAAGTGGTCAGAATGCTCTAACTCGTTACACTTTCTATTTATTGACTGAGACATCTGTTAGTCCGTCTTTCTGTTTTTGTTGATGCTCTATTTTTTTTTTTTCATGCTGCCCACTCTCTAAAGGTGGGTGTCCTTGATCCTGGCTTTCTGAATGTGGGTTTCTGAGATCCAATCATCATTTAGATCCAGATTAATGGAGAAACAATCATGTGCACATTGACATTAGAGACACTCACTGAGACAACTGTGACCATAGTGAACCATGAAATCAGCTCCCAGGGCTCGGGCAGTGAAGTCGTCCACGCAGCAGGCCCCATAGGTTACGTCCCCCATAATGATGGTGTCTGCCTCTGTGAACCTGGAATGCATGTACACAAAGAGGCACTAATCAGTGAAGTCACAGACCAGGTATAGCCATTTTTGATTCTTGCCACAGAGATCAATACCTATAGCATGCAAGGCACGGTGTGATTATGAGAAAGCAGAGTAACATCAAATCCTATCTTGGCAAAGCAGACAGTGCACAAAACATAGTTTCTGAAATTGTTGTTAGTCAATGAATAACTTACAGGGTGATTCATTGTTTTCATGTTGCACTGTATGGCCAGCAATCAATGGGCAAGCTGTATGATAGCCAAAGCCTAGCTAGATGCAGGTTACTGGGTCATCAGGTTAGTCTGGTCAAAGAAAGGCAGCTACATAATGACAAGTTTGTCTTGGCTTCTATCTAAGGCCTGGGTTTATTGCTCATCTGTCTAGGAGCAGAAAAGTCTCAACAATGACTTGCAGCATGAACATGTGTTTGCAGAATGAAAATAAGCCACGTACACCAGATGCTTTGCAGAATGAAAATAAACCACGTACACCAGATGCTTTAAATCACAAATAGATTGCACTGAAGGAAAAAATATATATACCAGTAATTTCTTACTGAGAGGAAAACCAACACAATTGTACCCGGTATCTACTATGCGTAAAAGCACCATAGAAAGCACTACTGAAAAACAACGTGTACCTTTTTATGGCCATTTATGGTGAAATAAATGTTAAGTAAAGCCATTAAGGCTAAGTAAAAACAAATAAAATTTGAAAGCAACCCTCAGAGATGTTAATGAACAGGAGCTTGAGGCATTGGAGAGGAGGAAGACGAGGGAGTGGTTGTAAAAAGGTGATTTATGCCAGGTATTTGTGGCTGTATGCTGACAGATTTAGGCTAGAAAGAAGTAAAAAAAAAAAGATGAGACAGAGAGCCTAGGAAGAAAGGAGGAGATAAGCAGAGAAGACTGCATCTGTACCGCCCAACAGAATCTTAGTAATGTGTCTCCTGCTAGTCAATCTTTCAACTTTCATCCACTTGTTTATTCCTCACTCTGCCTACTGCAAGGGGCCTCAGACAAAGTTTCTATTAGGCTTTTCCCTTCTTTTTTTTTTTTTTCCTGATATGAACTCTGGGTTAAGCTCTCTTTGGGCTCTGTTGTCACTGTCCCCTTGTTTTCTATGTTGTTTCTTTTACTCTCTCTTATTCCTGAATCCCCTATCGCATCTACCCTAATGGTTGCCCTCAAGTGAAGACGAGTGCAGGGCCATCTGAGCCCAGCAAATCAGACATAGCAATTTATCTGGTAAATAAATATTTGTCTTTTATGGTCTGATTCAATTATATTCCCTGATGTCAAGGTTTGGATTTTATCTTTGTATGCCTGACTGTACTGTGAGCCAACAGCAGATAGAAAATTATGGGTTATGGAAAATGATTTAATCATAGTGTAGTTTGAGATAGGTAAACACTTGCACAAGTTCCCCCATTGTCTTTTGGATATTGCCAGCTAACTTTATTTGGAAATGCAAAAATAATAATAAAATAAAATAAAATGCTAGTTTTCAGCTAAAAATGCACAGATTGCCCACCAGGAAAAAGAAAAGGAAACAATAATTCTTGCAATCTACTGCAGACCATGCAGAACTATCTACCATGCAAAACACAGCACTACAGAAGATTACTGTACCTAATCAGCCATCTATCAGCCAGAAACCTTATTATCACAGTACCTCCAGTAGCAGTGCAAAGAATATCTAGTTATTTTCAAGGTGAATTTTTATGGTAATAAATCGTAAAAATCTGAATAATAGGCCAATATCAGAGGTGTGATTTTCCTCAAACACAGGCATAGTAATTATTGGACAATGTATACCCCTATATTCCACTGGGAGAATGAAAACGAGGGAAAAGGGGTATAAGAATGTTAGTGCGTTGATAAAAATCACATTTTCAGCACACTCCTTCGAACAGTAATAATAATGATAATAATAAAAAAGCAGTACAGTTATATGTTCAAAGTACAACTGTCCTTTGTCTCTCCTCATTTACATACATTTCACTTTCCAAGATCTCTTCTGTCAGTTGCTTTCCCAGTTTACATTGTATTTTTTTGCACTGGTTTAGCCCCATCTCAGTGCACTCTGTTCAGTCATTACAGCTGAAATGTCATTAAGATCTAATTTAGATGTCAGAAGAGCTTGTGAACTCCATAGTAGCCCTTGTTAATTAGCTCTTTCGCATACAATTTAATATGTGTGAGAAGTTGCCCACTGATTAAAATCTTTTAATATAAAATATTATCCACTTTTATGCTGCAAAAACAACTACAAGCCTACAACCAGAAAGACAAATGTGTGTACACATGCACAAACTCGCAGGCTGTGGATTTATGGCCAGCAGATTGTATCACTGTTTATCAACAGGTTAAGTAGCTATATTTCACTTAAATAGCCTTTCACTTAGCAATTTTGCCATCGTTGTGGAGCAGGGTAAACATGAAAACCAACTAATCTTTCTGCGCGGTCCTCTCGACACGTTATTCTTCTTCTGACTTGACAAGAATTCCTTCAGATGTCATAATAAAAGATAAACTTATTTGCCAATAACACCTTACAGCTCAAAGATGTTGCATGAGCCAAAGACAACGGAAATCTCTGAACCATTATATTTGCAAACAAAAAGGAATTCTGCTTGGAAAGAGACAATTTTTTAAATGAAATAACGAGACTTGATTAGAACAACAAGTTTCCACCAGTTGTGTTAATAACTATTTATCTAAGCTTGTAACTTCTGATATGAGATAAAACAGACGTTGTTTCATCCAACACTTATTGTTACTCTCAGAGCCTTTTAGATTAAAAAGCAGCTTTAAAATGGCTAACAATGGCAGCTGAAAAACTAACACAAATTCAAATGGTTCCTTTTTTATTGGGACTAAAGTTGTTTCTGACAGTGCACAAGCATGTTTAACAGTATAATTCAAGATATTTTCCAGGGTTGGAGCTGATACTTTTTTTTGACATACCACAACGCAGACGTGAATTAATCCAAATCCATTTAAAACCATCAATAATCAATTAATATTTGATAATGACACGACATCCTGCTCAATAACACAAAGATCAAACGGTAATGTGTGCAAGGACAGTTGGTGTATACACAACAAAAAAACGAGACTGAGATGATTGACAGAGGCATGAAACAACAACGTTTTCATTGAAAGTCAGAGTCGCAGAGTTTCTTGGCATTCGCCAACACAAAATTGTGTACACAGGGTCCCAGTCACATCCAACAAAAGTATAAATTGTAAAGAAAAAAGTAGGATCTAAGATATGAAAACATACGCTAAACTAAGAATATGCTAAGCACTAATAGTACAAAAATAATACGCCCAAAACAGCGGCACGAACATGAGTCTGTGTGAGCAGATGAGTACGAATGAACACAACAGTGTGAAATAAATGAAAGTAGGTGTTTATGAGTAATGTGTCTTCTATAAAGTTCAAGGACAGTATATGCATGTTGTATACATAATTTCACTCATAAGAGGTGACAGAAAAAAATAGCTGGTGATAGCTGCCACTGCTAACAAGAGGAACATTAAGCTAGCTACAACAAAGTTGGAAAATGTGAAGAAAATTACAAACTCCATTTAAATTGTATTGCATAATATTTTCAGTTTTTTGGCAACAAGGGCTTACTGCATTATGTTTTGCACTTAGGAGCTACAATAGAACAAGATTAGTCTATATCAAAGAAATGCACACTCATTTTCACAATCTACAACAGAGCCAAACAAGAGTACAACAAACAGCACATTATACACCTGTTGGCAAACTATTATACGGCAATACAGCATAAAATTGTCTAGACAAGCAAAGGCCTTCATAGCATTTGATCTAGATTTGTGACCTTGAAGCTGGGGTGCTAAAAGTGTACGTGGAATTATGTTCAGTGATAATGCATACATGTATGATTTGTTATTACAGTATCTTGAACTGATAAGAAGTTATAGTCTGAACAAGCAAAGACCTTGTTTCAAACTTGACCTTGATGTGTGGCCTTGACCTTGAAGATGGGGTGATTAAAAGTATATGCAACACTTAGTCTGGTAATGATGCTTATGTGTATGAAGTTTTATTAAATTATCTTGAGCTGATCAGAAGTTACGGGTGGGACAAGAGAAAGTTTACGGATGTACAGACAGAGACCATACCATAATATGTCCTGCCTTTGACAGGCAAATGCAAATTGTGGTGGATATTGATGAGCAAATACACAATCTGGCTCAAAACACCCAATAATTAGCTGCCAAATACTGATTTTACTGTGAAATCATAGCTGCAGTGAAAAACAGGCTTTATAAAATACTTTATTAAATCCCAATGGGATTTGATATTGTTCCAGTATAAGATATTGGGGGAAATTAATAAATAAAAACAAGTTGTTGACGAGAAGGAAGTGCAGCAGAGAAACCTCCGACGACTGTTATTATTCTATGATGCCTCATGCAGCATCAACTGCAGCTACCAGAATAACACAAATGAACTCTTTTGGTACTAAGCACTGACAAAAACCCTTAACTGAATACCCTGGTTACAAACATAGTCCCTACCAATGAAGTGTCTTTGACAACATCATCTGTTGTTAACAATACAACAATACATTGCATTTGTCATTGTCCAATGCACCTCTATTTGTTGTTTTTGTCCCTTCAAATGGTCTGAAAGTGGAAAGGAAAAGCATTAAGTGTTGGAAATATGCTCCTGCATTTATGTTTCAGGGAAATGAATGATAATGCCATCCAAATATTCATGCTTCGTCCTTGTCAGTTCTTAAAGGTCCTCCATTTGATATGTCTTTAAGACCTTATATTTCCAATGGCAATCAAAAAAAAAAAAAAAAGATCTGGTTCACCTTCTTGTTCTCAGTTTTGATTTGGTACTTTTTCCTGTACAACTTGCCAGAATTAGTTGAGTTTTTAGTTGAGCTGCTTGTACAGTTAAATAACGTTCTCAATGACTTGGTAACTCATTATG